CCTGCTGTGCAGAATGCCTGGAAAGATCATACTTGCCTTCATTTCTTCCTTCTAATTTTATTCCTGTGGCAAGCAAGCCAAGCTGTTAATTTGTTAGCCTTACGCAGTGGCCCAAGAACTGGAAATACCTGTGAGAAAAAACTGCTGCCTTGGTTTCCTGCCTGCTCATACTGCCCTGAAACCAGTTACCAAATTCTTGTTTTCAGTGATACCAGGGTAAGATGGTAAAGTCAGACCTAAAGAGTGTTTTCATAGGGGTTTTAATTGTAAGTACTTCTGAAAGAAATGTACACTTCAGAATTAGGCTTACATTTTCATTTTTCCTTTACATAAGGTTCCCAAAATGCTGTTAACTTAGCACAGTCATTTCCATATTTATTTTTCTGAGCGTGTTATAGATAACACATGGTTGATGTCAGTAAGATCAGCATCACACCTTGGGTTTGTAAGACTTGTTTGTAAAAGCATAGGTCAGACTGACTGTCTCTTTCTGGCTCATTCCCATCTGCGGAGGGAAGAAAGAAGCCCACAGTTTAGAGAGACACTTTAAGGAAAATGAGAGGCTGGGCCATGGCCTGCATGTAAACCGCCTTCTGCGGCATATAGGCCTGAACCATTTACGGTCCCCTCTGCTCCTTGAGAAGATTCATATCCCAGCTGGAGCTGCGTGCCTCAGGCACCCTATAGTGTAAATATATCCCTCAAAGCAGCAAAGTCAGCAGTGGGGGTTGGCTCCGGCATTCCTGGGTATTTCATTTCTATGTTTACCTGATTTATCAGCAATTCCCATGTTGACAAAAGAAAGGATTTCACATCCTCATTTGACTTTCACAAACATACGTTACGCTTAGCTCTGATCCTGCCCTGGCGTTGAGCTCGGGGAAGCTTTTCCCAGGAAAGGCTCCCTTGGCCTGCATGGGGAGCCACTGACTTTTGGAGGGGCCTCACCCCTTTGTGCAGCCCCTCAGCAGAGGGCAGGCTGTAGGATGGACAGCCAGAGGGCCAGCACAAACCTACCGATCTCTCAAACCCTCAGAAATAGGACTAGTGATGTTGCGTGCTGCATAAGCACGGTGGGGTGAGCTGCTGTCTCCATCTACAGCTCAGCTACCAAGCTGTTTCCTCTGTATTTTTTACATTATCATTGTGCTGGTTTCAGGCAAGATACCACCTTTGTGCAGCTGGTTGGTTAGACAGTGAAAGAGTTGGTTATCCTACTGCCTTCTCCTCCCCAAACTGCGGAGCTGGATATGTTGGAATAGTCGACTATGGGAAAAGAGTCAACCTGAGTGAAACCTGGGATGTTTTCTGCTACAGAGAGAAAGGTAACAGAGCCCTTCAGTAGGTCACTCTGGTCAAAAGACAGCAGCAACTTGGTTTTCAATATCTTTGGTCAGCCTCAGAGACTGCCGGCTAGTATTGTAAAAGATTCTGTCTCTTTTTAATTAGAAAAAAAAAAAAATTGTTGACTGGCAAGTCATTTTTTGGGGAGTCTAAAACCTTTCCGTAGGAAAGAACGTTTGCCCACTTGGTTATCTGTGCTTGTACCTTCCAGAGGTGAACTGCACCTGCAAGACAGGCTACGTGGGGGATGGCTTCTCCTGTAGCGGGAATTTGCTGCAAGTACTGATGTCTTTCCCAACGCTGACAAACTTCTTGTCGGTACGGCCTATAAATTACACACGTTGTTTGAAAGGATGAACAGAGGGAAGCGGGTGCTGTAATGTTGTAACCTGGTGATAAGCCCATCTCTGCCTTGCTAGCACAGCGCATGTCAAGTTGTTACTGGTCTTCTCAAATTGTAAGAGAAAGGAAATGCAAATAAAAAAAAAATACAACAGTGAAGCAAGGTGAAATGGTCTAACTCCGGACCATCCAAATCAGAACTTAATCACTGTTTTTTAATTACTTGTTCCAAAGAGGTTTCAGGTTTGTAAAACTCATTTGGAAACGAAATGTTACTGCAACTTTAGATTTAAAAGGATTCTGTACTCAACTGTTATTGGGATGCTGCTGGCTTTTTAGATGTCACAGTGGCTTTTTGTAATTTGATCAAACTGCTACTGGGGAAAGGCAAAGTGTTAAAATGATCCCTTTCTTGCCAATACTCAGAAGGACATATACCTGCGCTCACATAAGTCGCCTCACAGACAACAAGGGCCCAGCTCCTATAATTCAAGTTAAGATAGGATTGTCAAATCAGCAGCTAAAACTATGTTTTGAGTGCAAACTCCCCCTTTAATGTCACTCCAAAGTTGCTTCACAGCTAATAACAGAAAGTTTCTCTGCCATTATTTATACGGTATCCTTTCAGCTGTCATCATAGCTCACAATTGCCGTCTGTTAAAGCTGAATTTTGTTTCTGCCTAGGAAATCATGGCTTACTCTAACAGCTCTAGGAGAGGGAGAGAGTTCCTGCAGTACCTCACAGACCTGTCAGTTCGTGCCACTCTCTTTGCCCCAAATGATAGTGGGTTAATGGAAAATGAGGTGAGGATTTTTTCTTCTCCCCTCTTTTTTTTTCCCCCCCCTTATGTTAGTAACACTTTTTAAAAAGTCATTCAGGGTTTCTATACTCCTGGTGAAATCTCAGTTTAAAAAAAAAAAAATCTTACCTAGTATGACATGACTTCTGTATATCACCATATGGTTTAAATTGTGCTTCTGAAAGGGGCAAGTTTGTTTTATCCTTTTCTCTTCTGCAGTTAGGAGTACAAAGCTATCAAGTGTTTGAGTCACTACAGTGAATTTTCCATGCAGAGGTTTTAGTTACCAGATAAAGGTGTCTGTCCGAGATGAAGTCTGCTCTGAGTTATTGTTTCCAGAAAGCTCTGCATGACCTTGGTATTTCTTACAAATACATTAAAGGAGCCTGTTCCTGGCTTCCTTTGTATGCTTATCCTTTTTTTCCTCCCTTGAATCAAACGTTGCCTCAAACAGCAAAGGTGCAACTCCAGCTATTGAGGCAAATGAGGCCAGCATTTCTCCTTGGGAACCAGCTATCCCAGAGCAGTGAACCAGTCAAATGAAGTTTGGGCGTTTATTAAAAGTGACCTGCGAGTGATTTCTCTTCGCATAGGTTTATGCCCTGGCTTGCATCTTCAGGCTGTTTTGATTATCTCTGAGACTAATCACTTCATATGTCATTAGACAGAAGAGTAAAATCATGTATCTAGCTTGAAAAAAGGTATTTCCCGCTGCATGCAGCGCTCAAAAGCCAACAGAGACAGAGGAGCCCAGTGTCAGCATATAGATTTCCCAAGTGTCTATCTCATACTGCATTTTGCTGCAGCATCAATAGCAAAAAAGGTCACAGGCATTTAGTCTAGCAGCAAATCTGGTAGATCAACGAAATTGGTTAATGTTCCTTGTATTTCCCTCTCATTTTTAGACACTTTCTGGGCGAGATATTGAGTATCATTTATCTAATGCAAGCTTAATGTTTTATGAAGACTTGACCAACGGAACCACTCTTCTAACACGATTAGGGGAAAAACTCTTAATTACAGACAGCAGAGGCCAGGAATACCAAGCCCTCACAAACAAACAGGTACTTCTTTTTAATAAATCTTGCACTGAGATACTGAGTTCAGAGGTTAGTAGTCCTGTGGCAGATAACGAGAGCTGGGCTTTCTGATGCCAGCTGGCAAACAGCTAATTACTAATCTCTGACCTGTGGAACGTGAAGGAAACTGTTCAGGTGGCATGCAGAATTCACAGCATGGTGGGAGACAGGCTCGACTCCTGGACTGGCACGACCATGGAAGATGGCAGTGGGAGAGGAGAAGAGAGAAGAGCAGCAGCTTATCATTAAACAAAGTGGTTGGCATTTTTGTGACTTTTTTGACAATTTTCTAGAAGAGGGAGGAAAGACACCAGAGTTGCCTTGTTCAGATCAAAAGCAGACAAAACACAGGTTTGCATTCGTTATTGCTATTTTAATTTTTTTTCAAAAAAAGCAAAAATTCACATCCCTTTTTGCAAAGGGGACGTACTCTTTAATATTTTTTTTTTTTTTAGGGGAAAACATCCTTTTAAAACACTACAGTTTTCATTTTTCATTAAAAAACGCTCACTGCCCAAGCATGTCAAATGCTATGGCAGCAGTCCCTTGAGACTGAGGTCAGGACTCTGCTGTGGGTGATGCGATATAGTTGAACATGAAAAGAAGAAGAAACCCTGCTTCTACAGGCTTGCAATTAAAATATGCTCTAGAGCATGGCACTTGAACCAAGGAAAATTGAAATATTTTTAAATCCACCCTATACTACAACCTAGTAATCACATTAATGAAGTACATACTCAAGAGAGATCAGCTGTGCCACCACAAGGCTGACCTGTATATCACTCATTAGCAAGCTAGAAGCTCTTTTCGATCACTTTGATCTCTTAAGGAGTACCTCTTCCAACTCAAATAAAAAAATCCCTGGTGTTCCCTTACTTCCTTTCCTCAAAAGCTGCCGGGGGAGGATTTTTAGCTCCTCTAATCAACTAAATCCATGCTGATGACACCACTTTTATACCTCTGTTTAAAATTCACTACAAGGAGCGTTCCTCGAGCACTGCGGGAAGAGCGGCGCTAGCGCGTGTTCACTGAACGCGGCCATCCTCCCCACGCTCCGTCTGCAAGAACCACTTGCTCCTGACAAAGGCATCCGGCCCATTGGCACCAGTCTTGCCCCTGCCCTCTAAAGCCGGTTGGAACGTCATAGGTTTTTTTTTTCCCCTCCGTGGGCAAACTGCACAGTCTCCCTCCCTGGCGCAGGCTCCCTGCTTTCCCCAGCTGCAGTAACGCTAACCAGGGTGGCAGGTTAGAAAGACAAGGCCATAGTTGCCTTCCAAGCACACTCCAGCCTGCTCAGCACTTACCTGTTCCACAGCATCAGGTAACAGCCCCACGTGCGTTCCCTGGGCCATGAAAAGGGCAGCAGAAGTAACAGAGATGAGGACACAGCGTGACCCCCAACATCCCTTCTGCAGTGCCGCTGAGCCTGTCCCTCTGTAAGCACAGAAAGTCACTTTGTGCTCTCCCAGCAAACCAGGCGTTTGAACGAACGAGACCGTTCACGATATTTGGCCTTTAACAGATAATTGTTTCATATTCAAAATGGCATTTCAGAGAGCGCTGAAGAGAGCCACAAAGCCTTTAAGCTTCAGACCTCAGCCACGTTCAGCATATATTGGGCCCCAGGCACAGGGGAGGGAGCTGGCAGCAGCTCCCTGTTCTGCTCGCCCAGGGGAAAGCATTTTGCAAGGATGCAATGTAAAGCAAAGTTTGCAATAACAAAGACTGCACCTGAACCCTTCCTCCCAAATGGCAGAGTTGGGCTAGAGAGGCTGAGGACTGGCCCAAGGCAGCCAAGGGTTCCCAACATCAATAACGTTTAGAGAAATTGTGGGATAGCAGTATGATTGATCCTGTCGCTCTGCCTTCTCACATCCTGACGAGTCACCGAATGGAACTAGTTTAGCCTGCCAACTCACTGACTGTAAGCCACCAAATGAACCGTGGGTCGCAGTTTCCCATCAGTATGTCCCAGCTCTTGAGGATAAGCAATGTGTGTGCAAGTGGCGTCCTCGGCACAGAGGGCGCCACCTCAGTGGGCGTTCACTGGAGGAAGGACAGCTACACAACCTCACTTGAGGGGACAGCATGAAGACAAGCTGCAGTCTGTCTGGCATTTATCTTCCACGTGCAGGAGTAATGGCACTCATGAGCAGAGCCCAGCAATTGCACAAGCATTGCAAAAGTGTCTTGCCAAAATGAAAGGGGTGGGGGGAAGGACAAAAATACTTGAAGGCAATATATAGGTAATGAGGATGGCTCCTTCTCGCACAGGATAGCCTTGACAAACCTGGGACCATCCTAGGGTGATGTCCATTGAGACAGCTGAATAATCCCCTAGGAGATTTTTCCTCTACGAATCAGTAACAGTCATGGGGAAACGAGCTTAAATTGTATTTCATTGTCAAAGGCAGGAGGGTCAAAGCTCAGTTCTCACTGTTCTTTCTCCTGGTAGAACAAGATCAGATACGTGGATGGAAGTGCTATTGTTGAGTGGGATATAATTGCTTCCAACGGGATAATCCATGTCATTTCAGAGCCTTTAAAGGCCCCCCCAGCACCTGTAAGTATATATTGATCGGGGCAGGGGAGGGGGGGTTATATCATCTCAAAGCCACTGCTAACTTTTGCAAAATTCCCAGTTTTGCTCCCCTATCTATAGTTTCAGGTTAAACAGGCTCCTTTTAAAAAGAAATTTAGAAGTTGAGAACAAGGTACTGGTGAAGGTTGTTCAAAATGTTTCTGTCTGAACAAGTTGTTCCCATCATTTTTTTTTCCCTAATGGAATCCCTTATAAAACCTTAGGAAGGTAGCCTAAAGCTCCATTTCAGTTCTTCCAAAACGCTCATTCAAGGTCCTAAGGAAAATTGTTCACTCTTGGCTTTTCATTCATTCCTATCCCAAACAAGAAGGTGTTTTGAAAACAGGGTTTTTGTTTTTTTTTTTTTTTTGCATGCAAGAATTCCAGCAGTGATTCTACTAGTTATGTAATTATCTCACCCCCTAGACCTAAGACCAACAAAACCAAACCAAATCACATGTAGCAAATCAGCGGAAGTTAAGAAAAGGATGCCCTCCTTTCAATGCGAGCAAGTAGAGTTAGCAGTTGCATTGCTTTAACCTAGAGTTAAAACAGTACAGGCCCCAGCAGTGTGGATACAAGCACACTCTTCTATTTATTTCACACTAGCAAAGTTTACTGCTTTGCTTGAAAGGGAGGAAAACCATTTCCTCCAGCCACAGAGCAACTGGGATGCTTCACAAAAATGATTCCTGTCTCCCTTGCAAAAAGGACATAGAGCGAGCACCTGCAGCTCTGTGTCTTCCTACAAAACATTTTCCTTAATGAAGCACTCAGATCTGCAGTGTTAGCGCTACACCCAGCTCAGTTCCAAACAGGCAGCTCAACTCAGCCCTGCGCAAGCTCAGTGTCGCCCTTGCAAATACGCCCACCGTTTAATGTGAAGAATTTTCCTTTGGGAATCCTTCAGCTGCCATCCGAGGAATTAATTCTGATCCTTCTCTCCATGTGCTAGAGGAGTCTTGCTCCCATTTATGGCCTGTCTGTCCCAGCTCTGATTTTTGGATGCAACTAACTTGCCACCTCCTTGGTCTACAAGATTAATTCTGTTGATAACACATTTCTCACTTTCATTTTGTTCTAGTTCCTAGAAACTCAGTAGTATCCCCCATATAAACTTGGTTTGCAAAAATCCCTTACATCCCTCAAGCCTGAGAAGTAGGGAATGGCACACTTGGATAACAGTGTAAATTACAGCCTGAAAAAAGGATTCAAAGTTATAGGCAATTTCTGCCAGTCTACAGCAGCATAATACTACATCTTTTTTTAATACCTTTCAAACGCTAGAGGGCAACTAAACCTTTTCCAGTATTTAGTTGTCAAGCTGCATCATGTAAATTACTTTCTTTTCTTAACAAAAAAAGCACAAGTGCAGAAGGCATATTATCAGTTAGGGCAATAATGAGATTATTTTTGCCAGGGTAAATTTAATAATTTGTTTTGTAAGCAGCAGGCCCCAGAGCTAAGACTTCACGTGGAAAAGCAAAAATAATTGCATACAAAGCTCTTCCCCATCACAGACCCTTCTTCACTTCCAGAATTATCAGCAAAAAGCAGTCCTTTGGGTAGATTGCATCCTGAGTGCCCAAGTGGACTGGTATCCCTCAAAGACAAAATTATCCTCATCTCAAAATGGTCGGTCACCTTGATGATATCAAGGGATATCACTATCACAGAGCTGCAGGAGCTGAACTAAAGCCAGAGTTTGGGGGCGTTTTTCCCCTTTAGATTAAATCTAAATTAAGTGCAAATTTATTTCAGTTCTTTGTATTTAAACCAAACCATGTAATATATATTCTATAGTATAGTTTATTCTAGATATTGCAAATCACCACTTGAACTGGCACTTATCTTCACCTGCTTGACTACAGAATGATTTCGAGGTAAAGGCACGGTATGTCTCGGAACATAACCATCTACAGAAGGCCAGTCCTAAACCACTCACGCAGAGCCCACCCCTGCCCACCCTCCACCTAGGCTGGCAGTCAGTCTAACAAACAGGGCAACAGGACGCAGGGCTCCGAGAGAATGGCACATCTTCCAAGAACAGGCAGTAACACAAAAATCTCCCCAGCATGCAAAGTGGTAGGTAATAAGCTTGAACCTGTAAGGACACTTTAGGGTTTGTAACACAGATTTTTAAAGCTGCATAAGGGAATTTGGTACCTGCTTTTCCTCTGCAGGCCAATGAGATTTCAGCTTCATCTTAGCCTCTAGGGCTTCTTTGAGAATCTGACCAGAAAAGATCACTTAGGCATGTTCTGTGAATAAGGTGTAAGGTGAAGCTATACTAGAATAAGTGTCCAATATATGGTTAAACAAAATAGTTTGTAATTATTATCCAAAGGCTCTATTCAGCCCTCTCTAGGGATGATGTACCAGGAAACCTAAACACAAAAGCAGTTCAGGACTAAGGCAATATCCTGAAGAGACACTGCATGGGCTCAGATGCTGGAAGGTGACCAGCGCTCCGCACCTTGTAACTCACCCATTCTCTGTGCTTCCAGGCTTATCTTCATGCTGGTTCTGGGACAGGAATATTCTTTGGCATCTTTCTGGTTATTGGAATTGGGGCTTTTATTGGATATTTTTACCTCAGATTCAAGAAAGACACGGGCTTTCAGCATTTCAAGGTAGGAGGCAGACAAGAATGCAAAGCAGAGGGTCAACACTTCCCAAACCCAGTGCACTTCACAGACTCACAGGCTGCAGTTTCTAAAGGCTCCATATATTTTATTAAGTCAGCAACTATTCCCGATTGCTTCACACTTGAAACATTCAGACTAAAACATGGAGAAAATGGGATGACCCCTCAGGGAAAGGCTCACACATTCATCTTGGGCACTAGCTTATATTTGCCTACTGCAAGCCAGGACTTCCCCCTCCAGGGTGCCCTAACTGCTCTCACAGACACACTTCCAACACCAAGGGCTGGCCAAAAAGCTTATAAGAAAAGAGCACAAATGCAGAAGTCTTTGTCACACCAAGATGACCAGCTTTAGGAAAGCAGGTAATTTCAACCACTTAAAGTGAACCTGTGTTCTTCTCCTCCACCATTGCACTGCTAAGAGGTTTGCTCCTTTGGAGAAAGGGGCATTTGATAAAAAGCAGGCCAGATTCGAAGTCTAGCAAACTGAAGTGTCTGTCAGGACTCAAATGTCCTGTTTTTGTACTGATATATGCTTGTTTTCTCTCTCCGTGCTTAGATCAAATATTAGTAGAGTCAGCTGACCTTATTAGCCTTACATAGCATCTTCACAAGGGGAAACAAGCCAGCAACAACAAAGTGAGTCAGCCAAGAGACAAGGAGGGACAACAAAAATAATCGATCTAAAAGAAAGTCTACCTATAAGCAACCAGAAATCCCTCCCTATCCTAGCCCCTGCATAACTCGCACATTGTCTGCTAGAAATGAAAGAGGAGCTGTGAGCCAGTGGAAACACTTGTATTTTTTATATAGCAGCAGCGAGAGCGCTCAGAAACAACTAATTGCCTTTATGGTAGGCACAACGCCAGTGCAACACGCAACACTTCCTCTCCCATTCTTAGCTGTGTTTAAAAACAAGGGAGAAAAAAGGTACCAATGTTAAATGATTTGATCGAGATAATACAACACAGAACACAGTTCAAACCTGGAGACAGTCTGATTTAGATGACAAAGGCAGTTCATTCACAACACTGTGTGCAGTAGCCAGCAGCAACGCTTAAGTGCCCAACTTAATGCACTGTAGCAGGAGGATGGATTTTAAGCAGGTTTGTGTAATTTTATGTAGTCAAAAGATGACACTGACGTAACATCACTGGACAAGTCACAGCCTTCAAATATCACCAACCCCTCATATGAAAGCTCTTCTGCACTGACTCCACCAGAACCTACTTATGATCCTTTCTCAGTAAGTGTTCATTTTGATTTGAAATTGAAAGACAAGTGTAAAGTCACGGTAAGAGGGAATGACTTTATAAGAGACAAGCATCTAGCTGAAAGTTGGGAAGACGTTTATCCTGGCTATCCTATCTCACCACTGCTAGGAATGGAGCAGCCCTACCTGTAGCAAAAAATGAGACTAGAGTCTACAGCTCTATCTTAAGTAGTAAATAATGAGGCTGTAGCCTACCTTCAAATCTTTCTTAATCCTTCAGACAGGTCTGAAAAAATTAGCACTTCAAATGCTGCTGGGTGCCAGTGACTTGTCTATGCAAACACTTTTAAAAGCCTTTAAAATTTGTTTTTACTTCTGCAAACACAGAACTGAGTGTCATGACAGCATTCTGTAAAGAGTTTGAACTGCAATGGGAAAGTCCATGTAAAATGAGAATATCTGGATAGCTTTGATGGTCCCATTCAGGAAGAATCTCATGCAGATGTAGAGTCTAAAAAACATAATAAGCCTTCTGAATACACTGAAAAGCCTTTTTCGGTGCACAAACGGCACATGCAAACTCTGCTATCTGTACGGACAAACTTGCCAAAAAGTGAATTGTGTTTCTGGAACAATATCTTGAAGTCTGATTTTTTCTTCTTCTATTTTATAGGATTCAGATGACCAGCAGCTTGTGATGAGTGGTCCTCATGATCAGGATTAAAAGTATGAATTTTTATGAAAAGTATGAAACACATTTCTATTTACACTTACTGGGAACAAATAGCACTTACATGTTTCAGGGAATAAAGTCTCTTGTTACAAATTAAAAAACAAAACAGAAGAGCAGGACTTGGTTTAAGATGCAGCCTACAGAGTTCACAATGTTACCGACTTCAGAAGTGTTGGCTGTATCTAAGAAACATCCACTACAAGTACCACACGCAAAATTAAGTCCCAACTAACCTACCCAGAAGCAAGCAGAAACTTATTTCCCTGCTAAAAGCATAAGACTTTCACTAGAATGCTATTTTACAGCTCTTCTGTACAATATTTAAAATGGCCCCAAACACTCTGGGGTGCTAACCTCAAAAATATCCTAAATTTACTAGCACTCTGGCTCTGTGCTTTCATTTTGGCTTGGTTACAACTACAACTGGATAGCATGAAACAGAACATGCGTTATACAAATAGCACTAGTGACCTGTATTTTTTAGTTGTTGGGGGGGGGAGGGGGGGGTTTGTTAATACACTTTTTTGTAAGAATTCCAGCAACAGGAAATGCAAACATACTATTTGTTTTATTTGCCTGCCCTGGCTTTTCTGTCCTTCCTCCAACTTTACTGTGTTTTGTTTACATCTCAAATAACTGTACAATGGGAAACAGTAACAGCATTAGCAAGAAAAATAGATCATATGAAGGTATGAAAAAAAAAAATCAATTCTCACTTGAGAGATTTGTTGGAAAAGTAGACAATGAAGAAGTATGTACCTCACCACTTCATGCTCCACGTTCAGTTTCTTAGTCTGGGAGGAGCAAAAGCCATCTATTTGTTCAAGTACTGTATTTCTACCAAGCACGTTAACACTGCGCCTTTCAACCAGCGCGCACCAATAGCTGCTGCCATTGTCGCCATACTATTAAAGTGAATCAAACTTGAGTTTGATTCTCTTTCATTTCCTCCCCTCAAAGCCTTAACATCACAGCAAATTGTGAGAACACTATAGAGAGCACAAAACAGCAAGAAGAGAGATTTTGTTGCTGACAGAAGTAACGTCTGCATATCACATACTTCCAGTGTTTACTATTTGGGGGGGGGGAGGGGAAGTGAGGGGGTATCGCTGTAGGAGAGTGTTAGTTCCCTCTAACTATATCCCCAGGATGCCCCATATCAGAACAAGGTACATAGGCAAACCTGCAAATCACACAAAGCCAGAGCTGTTGATGCAGCTATCCAGCACACGCAAGGCAATTTAAGGAGAAAATAGGACCGAGTGAGAGAGACTGATGACATTTCCCTAACTCCTCCCCTTTCCCCTCCACAAAATGCCTTTTTATTTTTACTTGAAGATACTGAAATTCAGACAACGAACACGTGCTTCCATGCACACATGTATTTAGGGGCGTTTTCCCCACAGAACTTTGCAATTAATACAACTCTTGTTCTTCCCTTCTCCCAAATCACCCACAAAAATTAAGACTCATAAGGACTAGGTGATGAAGTCCAAGCATTTATTTTTGTAATAATCATTAAATATTTTTTATCACAAAAATGTTTCAACAGTTCATTAAACTCTTCTTTTACTGACAAACTATTGTCTTCTGAGTTTTTAGTAAGATTGGGGGGGGGGAGACCCTCTTTTCCTTACTCTAGTGTTCAAATGAAATATACTCCCAAAATAACAAAGAGACACTGCCCTTTAAACATGCTGAAAAATCCATCTGAAGTCAGTAAGATAATGTTACAGTACTTAACGCAGACAGCAGAGGTGTACAGTTCAACTTCTTTGACGTTACAAAAAAGCCAAAACATTTTTAAAAGAAAGAAGAGCATTCCATCACTGAAAAAATAAATAAAAAGATACACTTGAAAATTCTCACTTAAATGCATATTGTATATAGTTTTCTTAAGGAACAATCTTTTGATAACTGAATTTTTCATGCAGTGTTGTTTATTTCAAGAAGTCATGCAATATAAGCAAGATATTACTTCAGCTAGCTGTTGCCACACAACTTTGTACAGGGATCAACCATAAGTTTTGACGGATTTATAAGTTAAGATAGAAGAGAGGAGAGGAGAAAGAAATCATCTTGAAACGAAATGTACAATATGTGGATATCATCATCCAACCAAATTAAAACTGTTCCTGCTTAACGCAGGAAAAGTAAGTAAATGAACCGACTCCTAGCCAGAGGTAAGGGAACAAACATCACACACCTATAATCAACAAAACATTATCAAATTCAATAATGCACCATTGTGCAATACAACACTACTAATTGCTGGTAGTAAAATGAAGAATGTGCAGGGTTTTTGTTTTTTTTTTTTTTTACTTTGTTTTTGAACAGTGCATTGAGATCTCTGGAGCATGAAAGGTGTTACCCACAGTAACACCAAGTTCTGTTCTAGCTGAGCATTAGGAACTGAAGGCAAACCAGGGATATTTCTATCCCCAAATTTCAGCTTACAAAACAGCCAGGTACTATCAAGTTATGCTAAATACTTTTTGCACAGTCCCACCAACAACTCCCCTGATAAAGCCAGACTATCTTCCTGCCAAATTTTATCTTTTCTTTCCCCCCCCCCCCCCAGCAAAACAGCAGGACTGTCAGATGAACTTAACTCATTTCAAGTACGTTCATCTGTTTAAATATACACACACGCATGCACTCTGGGAGTGCTGCATGTCAGGTTTTACACAGGAGTGCAAGAAAACCACAAAAAATGAACTATAATCACCTTCAAAGACTTCAGACTGATTTCAAGCATACAGGAAAACTGTTTATGAATTGTGCAGGCTAAATTAAAATACATTCTTTACCTTGCAAACACGCTTTTAAAAATATGAAAGATACTGCTTGTGAAATTTAATATAGAAACTTGCACACAAATATAAACAGGTTAAAAAAACCCAAACAAGAAAACTTTTGGTCACCAAAAGTTTGTTTACCTGACAGTCGCTGCAGGAAGCAAGTTATGCCCTAAATGGAAATGAGGAATAGCATGTGCTGTATATTTCATTGATTATAGGCTTTTAAAAATAGAGCCTTTAATAATTAAAACTTGAAAACCATTAATCAAATTACGTATTCTAAAATGGCTGGGGTAGAAAGCACCAGTTTAAAAAGAAAAATTCTGTTTCCTTTGGACACAGAGAAAGGAAAGCATCTTTGTTTGAAAATAATTATAATAGCAGTTCCATAAAGTGCCTGTTTGAGGAAACACATCAACAAGTGTTTTCCCTGTGCAAAATAAGACAATTATCAGCTCAAATCTTTGGAACGTATCAGGCTGCACAAAATTTGTGTTCATGCATTACCTACAATTATAGTAAATAATAAAACCTCTACTCTGCAGAGTCAAAACTGTTTTGCTTGATACAAGGCATCCACCAGCCCAATTCAGCTTTGAGGGTTTGGGCAAGAAGAAAAAAAAGTAATCAAAGAATCCTTGTTTTCATCTTCTCATGTTAGTTTTTTCCAATTCATTTGCAC